TGCTAGCATTTTTCAGTTCTTTCTTCTAGTTTGAGAGCATCAGGTCGCTCTGCGTTTTCAACTATAGAGTGAATGAGTATAAGCATTTCAAGTATGGAACACAAAAATAAGAAAAAGGAAAGGCAGTATGATTTTAAGAGTATAAACAAATTTTTTGTTTCATTTTTTTTCGAAATGGTGGCGTACCCAACAAACCCTCTTGTTCAGAACGGTGTTCTTCGGTCAGACAAATCACTCCTTGGAAGTTTAACCCGAAACAAAAAAAAAACAAATATTTTTCAGTTCTGTATAAGAATAGCTAGAGAAATACGTAGGGAAATTAAACAATAACATGTTTTGTAAAAATGGCGCACGTCTAAAATCAAAGTTCCGATTAGACCTTCTGCAGCTATTCTTATATAGAATTGAAAATTATTTGGATTTTTGTTTCATGTCAAACCTCTAAAAAGTAATTCGTCCAGCCGCAGAACACTGTTATGAACAAGAGGTTTTGTTGAATAAGCTGCGAAGTCACCATTTTGAAAAAAAAAATTGTAGTATACTCTTAAAATCATGTACACTGAGCGTCATTAATGGCGCTTGTTGTTTTTATTTTCAACGAAACCGCTTACCACCAAATTTTATAATTAGGTAATTCGTGACCGCCAAAAAATTTGGCATCGATTCCATACAAAAAAATTTTTTTTTTATAAAAAATAAGACTTTTGGGGCTAACTTCACAATCTAAATTTTATTTTCTATTTTTCAAAAAAATGGGCAACAATCAAAATTTTTAATTAGTCCACCAAAAACCACCATAAAACCAACAATTATTTGGCAACAGAAAAAGTTGAAAAAGTAAATGTTACAATGCTAACTTCACGTAGGTCAATTCCGGCGGGTAGACGGCGCTCCGAAAATCCCAAGCTAGAGTTCCTGTACCTCAGTGAAGTTAGCCGGGCAATTTTAACTTTTTAACTTTTTATCATACCAAATCGATTGGTGGTCGTTTGGTGGTCATTGGTGGCCTAATAAAAACATTTGGTGGTCAGTCATTCTTTTATAATCAAATAATCAAAATTTGACCGTGAAGTTAGCCGAAATTTTTTTTTTTTCAACGAATTAATTTTTTCAGATGCGTAATCATTTGGTGGTAACGAATATTATAACTAAAATGTTTGGTGGTTGTTAGTTTTCGTAAAAAATTAAAAAAACGACTGTAGTGTCCAGCATTGACTGGATACGAGTGTAGGAACACACATTTACGGTCGATAAAACAGATATTTCTACATACCTCCGCTGCACAGCGAGCACCAAAGGCTGTGATTGGCTGAGAAATGGATACAGGGGTATCGTGTCGAAACACATTTTACGTGATAAAACTTATAATTCTAAACCGATTTTGCTCGGCATGGTCCCGTTCGAAGCAGAAACACTAGCCGAGGATTGGTAGTCTAATTAAAACATTTGGTGGTCATCAATTAATGCACAAGGTATGAAGAGTCATACCTCCGCTGCACAGCGAGCACCAAAGGCTGTGATTGGCTGAGAAATGGATACAGGGGTATCGGGTCGAAACACATTTTACGTGATAAAACTTATAATTCTGAACCGATTTTGCTCGGCATGGTCCCGTTCGAGGCAGAAACACTAGCCGACGATTGGTAGTCTAATTAAAACATTTGGTAGTCATCAATTAATGTTACTCCAAAAGCAAGTGCTATACGAAATTTATATAATACTTGGACTCCAAAGTACTCCAAAAACACCCACATAGATTATTGATCTTACCAAACGCCGTAAATGGTGGAACAAGTCAAGCGATAACGAAATGAATGGGTATTAATCCAAAACGGAGCACGAGGTGACACAGTAACGTAAGCGAAAGTCTCAGATTGTTATAAAGAAGACTCCAGAGCGTCAATATCGCCGGAAGTAAAATTCTGAGTACAGCGGAAACATCGCTAAGAAGGTAAACGCTTTTTATTGGTCGAATGCCCCAAATCCATTTCTCAGCCAATCAGAGTGCTCACAGTGCAGCGGAGGTATGATTATTCATACCTCGTGCATTAATTGATGACCACCAAATGTTTTAATTAGACTACCAATCATCAGCTAGCATTCTTGCATTGATTAATTCTTTCGAAGGGAGATTCTGTTCAGAAATATCTGTTTTATCGACTGTAAATGTGTGTTCCTACACCCTGCTGTAAACCATAATATAGATTTGGAAAGGCGCTTACGGCGACACCATGGCGAAATATAGAAACAATCCTTGGTTATTGTATCTCTAAAAATTCCATAATTAAGATTATAAAAAGCGGACGGCTGTCGGCTCGTCAGACGAAGTAGAGAGCTACGAGTGAAGCGTCACTACGGTAACTTAGTCGAAGTACTAACCTCCAGCCCCGTGATTTTGTACTCACCACGTTTACGGTTTATTTCTAATAGTGTATTCAAAAGTAACTTGTTTAGTTTCAAATAAATCTTTTACTTGTTATCGAGAGTTAAGTTCCAACTTTTTACTCGGGCAATGAATCCCAAAGTACCTGACTCCCGAAAACCCTTTCCGGCAGTCGAATCCGTGAATCCTGTATTTGGGCTCACAACAACCCATATCCAGTCAATGCTGGACACTACAGTCATTTTTTTAATTTTTTACGAAAACTAACGATTACCAAACATTTTAATTATGATATTCGTTACCACCAAATGATTACGCATCGATTGAGCACCCGAAAAACTTAATTCGTTGAAAAAAAAAAATTTCATCTAACTTCACGGTCAAATTTTGATTATTTGATTATGAAAGAATGACTGAACACCAAATGTTTTTATTAGGCCACCAATGACCACCAAACGACCACCAATCGATTTGGTATGATAAAAAGTTAAAAAGTTAAAATTGCCCGGCTAACTTCACTGAGGTCGAATGAGGGGCCGCATTGCCGTCTCGCTTACACTCGTGCTGTGCAACAAGGATGCACCGAGCGACGCTCTGGCGTCTCGCTCGCACTGTAGTGCTCTCTGCGTTGCACGCACAGGCAGAGGTACGTCAACAGGCACCACCCAGTTTCCTCTCTTACCTCACTGCACTATGCCAACAAGGTGGACCCATTAATGACGCTCAGTGTACATGATTTTAAGAGTATACTACAATTTTTTTTTTCAAAATGGTGACTTCGCAGCTTATTCAACAAAACCTCTTGTTCATAACAGTGTTCTGCGGCTGGACGAATTACTTTTTAGAGGTTTGACATGAAACAAAAATCCAAATAATTTTCAATTCTATATAAGAATAGCTGCAGAAGGTCTAATCGGAACTTTGATTTTAGACGTGCGCCATTTTTACAAAACATGTTATTGTTTAATTTCCCTACGTATTTCTCTAGCTATTCTTATACAGAACTGAAAAATATTTGTTTTTTTTTTGTTTCGGGTTAAACTTCCAAGGAGTGATTTGTCTGACCGAAGAACACCGTTCTGAACAAGAGGGTTTGTTGGGTACGCCACCATTTCGAAAAAAAATGAAACAAAAAATTTGTTTATACTCTTAAAATCATACTGCCTTTCCTTTTTCTTATTTTTGTGTTCCATACTTGAAATGCTTATACTCATTCACTCTATAGTTAAAAACGCAGAGCGACCTGATGCTCTCAAACTAGAAGAAAGAACTGAAAAATGCTAGCAGAAGCTGCGGGAATGTTTTCAGTTTGCTTGCAACATTGTATGCCTTCATGAGTTTGCGGCATATGTATTCTTGAAAAGGTTCCGTTCACTATTACTTTTCTACGATTGCTATAGTTCATCCCCGAGTTTCATGTGTTCTTTGACAAATGGAAAACAATGAAGTCTCTAGCAAGGTGCATATGTCATTGCATAAAGTATTTGTTATAAAACTGCATATGCAATGTCTTGAACTACACATATTTTATTTCGCGTCTGGTTTGCTTAGGACTGCATTATTTTTGAACTTCGCCCTCCCATGCGAGCCATGCAACACTGGATCAAAAAAAATTAAACAAAAGAAATGAAGAGAAAAAAGTTTTCGTCACTAGACGCGAACTCGGCACCTTACAACTACGAAGCTGAATCATTGCCAATACGCTCAACGCGTGTTCTTCACATATGATAAATCCATAGCTGGTGGAAGTGAGTAGCCTCACTTGTTGCAACACGGACTCTCATGAAGATGTAAGAGAAAAATTGACAGCAATGGAAAAAAATCTCATTTTTATATTTCATTTTTATATGTTCATAATTTTATGCCCAAGATTTATGAGTGCAATTTTGTTTTTGGTAATTTTTCGTAATGCCTTCCTTATCCGTCTGAATATTATTTATGCTATTAAAACATGAAACAGCGTGACATAGGTGTTTGTCACGGGTAGGCTCTCGGGAAGCAGAAACGTTCGCTAATTCATGTACCAATTTATTGCATGTGTACGATGTAATATAATACAATATTTGTTGACTAATATAATCATATATTTAATGAATCTTCAGTTAACTAGGTGAACCAATAAGCATAGTTGATAATTAAAAAAAAAGGGGTTTGAGACTTGAGTTCCGAACTCGGGACTCTCGGAAGTTAATTCAGCACCAAGCACGTGTGCTACCGAGCCATTGTGCTATACAAATTGGAAAATTTATATTTGTGTAGTTACCCACTTTCAAGGGTTTGTTTAAAATTTTATTTGCTCACTCTATTATTTACAAAGCTTCATATGGATATTAAGGGAATTAACATTGGCAGAATTTACTACCTCATTACTACGGTTTATATAATATACAATAAGAAAGGGTGAATACAAGTCTCCCTATTTAAAATCGTGGATCTCGAGGAACACACGAATTCATTCGACCAATCAAAAACGTGGAACTAGTTCGAGAGTCTCATTCAGGTGGCGCGTCGACGCGCCAAAGCAGAGCTCCAGATTCTCACGCGTAGTATTACTATATATACTCGACCAATCAAAAACGTGGAACTGCTTCGAGGGCCCTCCGCTAAGGTGGCGTGCCGAAACCAGAGTAAAATTGAGATCACCAAAAACAGGCCCATTGGCAAGCTCCCTACTCATCTCTGACTCTACATCCAACCCCTGCAGTACAAGTTGGTAGAATTGAGCGGGAACAAGAAGCGTTGCGTATTGTTTTTAGTTTGCCTACATCTTTCAATAGATTTTGTGTGTAAATGAACAAGTAAGTAGAATTGCACATTCTTCTAAAGTATATCATCTAGATTAATAATGTGAAACAGTAAATATTTGTATACTTCGTTATTCATTGTTTCTGTACGTTTCGAAATTAACCTCTTTCCACATAAAGTCAAATGATGAAACAATTTGTTGATATGATTTAGCTAAATTTTGCAATCATTAAACAGTTAGATATATTCCCTGCTTACCTTTATTAGAAATATTAAAGTGGAAGGCAATAGTACCTTTGTATCTTTTTCAATTTCAAATCAACATTTAGCATGGCATTGTGATTTTTTAAATTGATTGATATTTCTTGCTTTTATTGAATGATGTCATCTTTCTGTATTAATATATTGATATTTTTATATGCGTATTTATGAAATTATAAAAATGGAGTACAAATTTTAAATAAAAATCACATTTCTGCTGAATGTAATAGTTACTTTTAGTAATATATACGTACATATTGGTATATTGTTATAATATTTCTTAATTTATTAACTCGTATAACAACTTTAATATTATCTGTGGATAGCAGGCATGTTTAGAATATGTTTAAATTGTAAAACAACAATTCTGTCATAAATATGTAAAGGTTCTGAAGTGTATTAAAACATAGATTATACGATTGGTATAATTTATGCCTTATATTTTAGGGATCAGAATGCAAAGTAGTTACTTATGTAGCTGATTCTCACCCTTTGTCTATAACATTGAGAGAATAAAGACATTATTATTATTGATTATTGTTATTAAATATATTATGGAATTTGGCTAAACTATAGAATATGACACTTTTTTAAAGTTAGCTGTGAATTGTTTGTGTTTTGCATGAAGTTTTTTAAGAAATAGTCCTGTTCTGCAATTTTATCTGAAATTCACATAGGCTTTTAAATATTTTAGCAAGATTACTTCTCAATTAAAAGTATTAAGAAACAAGATTGGTAACTTAAAATAATAAAAAATAATTGTAATTTTTGCTTGAATTATGAAAAATAGTTAATTTTTAGACTGCCAGCAATTTTCATAAAAATAGTGTTTTTTTGTGGCCAAAAACATACATGTGTAGGATTTTCAAATTTGCTCCGAACCTCAGAAGGGACCTTGTATCAGTCTAAAGGTTAAAAACCTTTTAGATGCTAATTAATTATTCAGTTACAATATATTTTGTATTTTCTTAGATCAAAGATATTAGACTTTTATTTACTATTTATTTTTGAGTCCGTGACATAAATAGGAATACTCAATTTTTTGTAAATTCCTTGTATTTAAAAATCCTTTGTAGACATACTTTACAAGTGCTAATTATATTATATCAATTGCATATTAAATCTTTTATAGAAATGGAGCCATTGAAAATTCATTTAGATGCTCTAGAAATGGCTGGGAAGACAGTGGACAAATTTATTATTGCTGACAGTAATTTTCCATCTCTAATTAATCTTATGCGCTATAATGTACAGGGTGAGTATAATATATAGGTAGTATTTCAGTTTCAATCACATCAGAGACAGCATTACCTGCTTCTGTAAATCAAAATTAATTCAGGAACTATTTATTGAATGTGGCCACACTTTCGACTGTATTCAGTGGGGGATCGCTCAAATGTCAGCAGTAACATCTGTAAAGGCTATTATTTCAGAAATAAAATAGTTTATAATGGCAAATGGGAAATAACAAAATCCTTCATAGGTCACACATTTAAAATTATTTTAAACAAGCCTTATTGCAACTAGTGTATGAGTAAGAAGTAGTAAATTGAAAATAATATATAGATGAGACATGTTACACTTATTGTATACCTTTTAGTCTTTAGGTGTAAAATGTGTATTTATGAAATCTCATTTCACTTGCCGTCATTACAATTTTATTAGTATTCGATAATAAATTATTAATATCGTAATAACTATTGTGATGATTAATATAAACTACATTACATGATAATAATATGTCAATATATTGAGGAAGCACGAAAGTATTCTAATGTCGCGCAAATCATGTCCAATAATAGTCGTATATAATTACGCCAAAGAAAACATGGAAGTTGTAAGGTTTAGATAAATCATACATAGATACAAAACGAAGAAACTGTCTGATGGAATTAGTAATTTTAGAATTATTTGATCAAATTCAATCTTTTTTGAGGACGAAATCAGTATCTTACAAATGCATTGAAAAAGGCAACTATGAAGAGTTCTCGCCGTTGCTACGCTACTTTTTAGCTACATGTAGACTTTTTGTAATACTGATTATATTTTACATTTATTTATTTACGCAATAAGATCAAGAAGGAAGCAATATGGGATTTTCTACGGGTACACTTGTTTTGATATACAGAACTAATTATAATGTCGTTTCTCCTTTACATGCATTTATTACAGAAGAATAGTTGAGGACGGGATTAACGAACTTTCATGCCTATGCGAATCAAATGTAAACGAAAATCGTAAATAACAGAACTCTTACACAGATTCTTTCTCAAAGCACAGTTAAAAACACGTTATAGAAAGTTAACAATCATTTTGACACCACTTTTGCAATAATTAATCTAACAATAAAAGAATAATCCGACCCGAAAATTTGTACATGTTTCAAATTCACATAGAAATTTTCAGATTGAATGCTTTCTTCAGTTTTGGTTCAACCCTTCGAAGGCAATAACATCATAGGGTGTAAATAAATCGTGTCATAATAGGCCCGATTTTTTCGTCTTTTTGCGTGATCATTGCCAAATCTTCTATATGGGGTTTCTTGGGGTCGCTGAATACAGATTTTGAGTAAAAATTCCAAACTTGAAAATAGCGGATTTAATATGATGAGAAATATATTTTGTTTTAAATTAGTATATTTCTGCGTTCTAAACAATTTTAGTCGTCAATATGAATTCACTAGATGATGCCGGAGATTCGAAAAAAAAAAGTTATTTCATGCTAACAACATGTCTGTAACCATTCTCAAACAATCTTCTTTTAAAAATGTTATATTATATAAGTTTCAGTTTCATCTTTTTAAGTTTTTCAATTTTGATTCCCACATTTTTATTTAGGATCCAAGAACTTTTATTTAGGACACCCTCTTATTACTGACTTTCATGGAACTCCGCTAATTTATTGAATTTTTCAAAATTTTGACTGCCATATTGGATCAGCCATTTTAAATTTTGAAATTTTTACCCCAAAATAATATATAGCGACTCATAAATTCCCCTAATATCGACATTCTTTAAAATTTGAATTGCATTTTCATCTTGCCATTTTTGGCTCAGTTGGTGCTAATTTTCATACCAGTGAAAGGGTCAATCATTACGAAAATGCTATGTAAATTATTGCTAATTTTGTCTAATGTACCCTCAATTCCCATGGTGACTACCGGTCAGGAACAATGTAGTAATAAACCCGGTGGGAGCACTCGCTATCGTGGGTGACGCCCAGGCGGACGGCCAGATCCTGGTGTCAATAGCGGCCACCTTAGCGCGCCACTGTCTCATCAAGGCCGGGCTTATTACTACATCACCGGGTTTATTATTACATTGTTCGGTCAGGGAAGAGCTGAAAATTCTGGAAATGTCAGGGAACTAAAGTATTGAAAATGGACATGATTATTAACCCGGAAGTAGGTGCGTGGGGTGTCTGAGATACACACCGTAACTTAATGTTTTTTAAATGGAGAAAAATATCGTGAGACCATTCCCGTGTTAAACAAACATATTTGTAACATGTATAAACATGTTTTTGAATACCGATTCGTATATGTCCTATTAGTTTGTATTTTTCATTGTTTTTAGTGGCACCATGGCACCGTGGCACCTCTTAGAGAAAAAAATCGTCAAAATCGTTATTTATTGCTAAACCTGCTATTTATGTTCAGATTGTACTCAAAGGGAAATGAGAGGTCTGAGGTCCCTTTAACCCTTTCGCTTTTGTTTGGATTATCTATTTTTTCGGCGTTTGGACTGAAAGATCTTAAATCATGTGCTCATCAAGTTATATTCAATAAAATTATTAAATCATGATTTTGTACTGATTGACATGTTGAATTTTTGCTAATTATAAATATGTTGTGACGTATTTTATCGCGATCTAGCCTCGCCGGGAGATGTGAGACTGACGAGCGCACAACTTACGAAATTCGTTCGCATCCTAGATAACCCAGGGCTAACCTATGCTGAACACTAACTAAAAAATGCTATTGGGCGCCAGATTCTCGCGAGAGAACCGCGGGAGACGCGAACTCCCGCATGAGTTTCATATCAATTCAAATTCGACTTCCATCGACTGACCCATCTCGCGGAGACGGTGTAGATCTTCGAAACAAGGAGAACTTCCAACAAAAATAACAATTGCTTTTTGGGTCAATAATAACAAGATCGGTTTTTATTCCGTGCGTCAAACTTCTGACGCGACCACGCGTTTACAAAACTTCCAGATTCAAACAATTTGAGAAATAAATAGCGGACCCAATAAGATAGCGACTAAAATAACGAAGTGATTCATAGAGCAAAGTTGTTACGGTAAAAAGTGCCAAAGAGTGGTAATATCTTCATTTATAATCAATGTTATAATAAATTACTTCGAACAAATTTCGCGATCGATTCTGCGCAGTCAAATTCATACAATTCAATAAATACGGTCGTACACTCGAATACAATTTTGAACATCTCAAAATCTGATAAATGCTTTCGAACAATCCGATACAATTTGCAAGAACATACAATCTTAATACATCAGTCAATCCTACAATATAACGCGACACATCAAACACGACCTCAAGGACCATTTCGTGTTTCTCGGCAACACGTCTCTAACTTGAACGCGATATAACGTATTTCGGACATCAAACACTCAATCATGGCCGAGAAAACCAATCATTCGAAGACATTAATACTCAGATCAAATCAGAGTAACGTGAATAAACATGTCCACGATGGGCAACATATTTACGCAAACACAGTCCCTTGCTGGTCATCAGAATCTCGCACCCTGGACGAACGCGATTCTAATTGTGGGAACTTCTCCCCCGTGCCCCCAGGCACAATCAAAACGTACAAAAACGGGGGGTAATATGAGATTTCCATGTTTGCAAAACAACAATCGTGTATCGAAATCTCTACGTCTCTTCATTCCGGAAAATTGGCCCTTTAACGCGGCCACGGACAACGTCCTGATTTTCCTCAGACTCTAACAACCAAAAACCGAAACGGCCCACAAATATGACTCGCGTCGTCGACAATCCAGGCAAGAAGACAAATTAGTCTTCCTTTTCAATCGTAATCGGCAGCACAGGAAACGATCACCCTCTCCCTTATCTGCAATCACTTCTAATTGGTCTTTCGACCCCAATCAGAACTCCCCAATATGGCACCACGTGCCAAAGTTCAAAGTGTGTCTTTGCGACAATTCCTACAACTCGGGAACAGCAATCCTTCAACCCAAAATCTTCGCCACGCGTCAGTTTCAAAGATGTCATTGTGACAATTAATAATTTGCATAACAAATCGTGGACAATTCGTAAGTATCGGTCTGACGACGAGTTTCATTCTTGATCGCGCGAGGGTGCACCAGTCGTCCCTGGATTCCCAACTCGCAGAAATATAATTAGGCAAAACCTGACGGTGGGCGCTAGGCTACAGGGATCGGTAGTGGTACTCAATCGTCGGGCGCTTCGCGTGCCACTCCAGTCGTCGTGGTTGAGTCTCAGGTGGGCAGGGTGCGTTGCTGCTGCGTGACGTCACGTCTGTCCTGCGTTGCGCGCGCCTCCTGAGCCAGTAAAGCTGTTATCCAGAGATAGCGCGAGTGTCGACCCTCGCGCGTCGCAGGCCCCTCCTCCTGCAACTCCAGCTGGCTCTTCCCTCTCTCTCCGCGTCGATGCACCTTCTCGGGCACGGCGAGCGAGCTAACTATTTGAACTCCGGCAGAGAACACAGAACAAAAAAGAAAATAATAAAATATCGTTTCATACGCTTTAATAGGCCCTTGCGTTCGGTGGATCCTGTCTGGTTTTTTATCGGGGTCTTATGCCACTCTCGCGATACGGCGTGATTCCTGCCGAGAACGCGACGGGTACAATCCATCACGTCACAGCAGCCTTCCCCTAGTCGGGAACTCACGCGGTAAATGATTCAGAGCGATCATCGAAAATCATGTTGCTGTCGCGCCACTCGAATCTACCGCGAGTCCAGGCATGTCAATCCACCGTCCGGCCGAGTTCTTCGGCCCCGATTAGAGCGATTTAGTCATCTTCTTTCTCTTCTCATTGGGACCACCACCAGACACACCAGGGTAATCAGCACAATACAAATGGCTAAACTTAATGGATTTATTACATCCCGCGTAGCTTAGCGCGGGTTATACATCATTATTGTCGGGCTCATGCTCGCGAGACATAGGATTGTGGCATGCAATCAGGTCCTTGACATGGTATCTACCGGCCAGTCTGCCCTTTTCGTCTTCGAGCTCATAAATAAC